ATTTAGGAGTAGTGCTTATCCTGGTATCCTTGGAAACTGACGATAATGATTCTCATTACAGTTAGTTTCTATATTTAACAATGTGCATGTATGTGGCTCTCTAGGCACTTTCGCAGTGAGCATAATTTTTGCTTGGTGTTTGTATTTTACAAAAATAACTCATCTCTTTTGGAATGTGTGCATGTCAGACATACATGGGCTGTAGAGGTGATGTGTAAGAGTCAAATATTTCAGATAAAATTGCTTCCAGTTCTGCCAATAAAAGGTCAAGTAGGGCTATTATACTGGTGATCACCTAGAATATGTTTATAAGGTTTGCTAATTAACAAAGTTCTTTTGTCATATCCCCCTCCATGCTTTCCTATCTCTCCCTTTCCTGCCCCTCATCAATCCACTTTCCTCTTCCTCCAGCACTTGTCCTCATCCCTGGTTTCCGTTTCATCTTGCCCATCTTAACTCCATTCAGATATTAGCCATCTTGTTTTCTACATGGTCATATACATTCCATGGGTTAAAAGTATAAGGATGTGTGCTGAGGATGCAGAATTAGAGGAGTAAGAGTGTCTGCAGCCTTGGATATGGTTTGAGGATATACGGGTCCTGGTGTGTGTGTGTGTTACAGAGCCTCTTGGATAATTAGTATGGAAACATTGCTTGTTGGAGAAGGTAATTAAACTTTTTCCTCTCAAGTGCTAGAATTTCAAGTGGATTTGCATGTTTTTATACCTTTTGTCTTGCTATAATTCCAAATCTACTAAAAGCTCCAAAGATGATTGTAAGAGATGAACACACAGCTTTGTTGCATCATTTCAGACTCTGAAGCTCTACTGTTACCAGTGGTCAGAGTCTTTTCTGGGTTTCGGGCCTTTTCAATGAATTGAAAGTCCACACAGGTTGCAAAGGAGTGAGCAAATTTGTGGAGTGTTCTGCAAGAGAGCTAGCAGACTGCATGAATGAAGATACTCAGGGAACCATGGTGATTTCCTGGGCTCTTTTTTAATGAAATATAATGGAAGGAGGCTCTGGTTACAAAGGGATACAGTTTAGGTGGTTCTCTGTTTTGATTGGTTAATTAGGTTAAATAATCATTATTTTTTATTTTGCTGCACATAGCCCTTCCCATCATGCATCTGGTTTAAGTTGTATTTTTGCCCTCTTATGTGTAGGCAGAAGATGGTAAACAGGATATATTCTCTAAAGAGAACATAGTCTTGCTTTATTGTTTTTGTACCCCAAACCAGTTCAGGCTGAATTGGCCCTTCTAATCTTTTACTGGGTCCTAATGGGAGGATGATTTAATAGAGTCTGTCTAAATTGGATAATTCTTATGAGGAAGAAAAACTTACTCTATTTTGGGGTGTAGAATGCATGCAGCTTATGTTGCTTACAGGTTAATAATAAGTCTCACACTGACAAACTTGAGAGACTCACACTGGCCCAAGACAAGTAGGTTCTCAGGTTTCTATATTATTTTTATGTTTTCCTGGCTATCTACCAGACAATTAGTGTTAGATCAGACACTCACAGTTCTGAGTTTCCTTGTGGTTTTATTTAAGTCATTTCAAGCAACCACGATAGTTCCCAAATCTCAGAGGTAGTATAGGCCAACCCTGTTGTGATTGTAGAGGGAGGGTTGAATACTGAAGTCACTAAAAGTTCTATGTCCTTCCAGATGTTTCCTAGTGGAGGTGTCACCTATGGATATTACCACTCTGGCCAGGTGTTCTAACATCTCCTTTCCCACCAAACCGCTCACCAAACCTCTTAGCTCTTTGCAGTTGCTCATCCATTCTGGAACATTCCTGTTGCTGTTTTGTGGATTCAGGGAGTCCTGGAAGTTAACCCTAGCACAACACTTTCAGAGTTTTAGAAGTTGTTACAGAAGAAATACTTTGGCTTCCACGTGGTCTCTGTGGTGCTTGCTCAGCTCACTATTGTAGTGACAAAGTATTCATAGACAAAGTATGAATGGGTAGATGCATTCTGATAAAACTTTATTAGAAAGTCCAGTTGGTAGGCCAAATGTGAATCTTGTGAAACGACAGATGCTTGACCTTTAGAGTATGCTAGAAGCAAGAGCATTAGAATGTTGTGAGGCTGAGGGAGTGATTCAGTTGGTGAAGTATTTGCTGTGCATGCATGAAGACATGGGTTTGATCAACCACACCCCTGTAAAAAGCACAGTGGTAATCCCAATGCTGGGAAAATGGAGAAAGGTAGTTTCCGAGGCCACTGGCCAGCCTGCCTAGCTAAATTGGCCTATGAGAGAGACTCTGCCTCAAAAACAAGTAAAGAGCTAATGAGGAGTAACTTCTGAATTTGTTCTCTGGGCTCCATACACTAGTACACATGTACACACACACACACACACACACACACACACACACACACACACACCCTTCAGAAATGATTACAACCTATTATATTTTATAGCATGTAATGAAAATGCCTAAGAATTTGAAGACACCAAGTGTGGTAGTGCATACCTATAACCCAAGCACAAAAGAGAGAGAGAGAGAGAGAGAGAGAGAGAGAGAGAGAGAGACTGAGGGTTCCAGGCCAGCCTGGGATGCCCAGTTAACTATCTAAATAAATAAGTACATAAATAAGACCAAACAAAAACAAAACTGACCTATATTTAGGGATCAGATTAAGAATATGTTGTCTTGCTTCCTGTTCCTTTAGAAACAAACAAATATCCCCAAAGATAACTATGCCAGACCTCATTTTAGGATCTATTATGTTCTAGACTTAACCCAGGAACACTTCAATCTCAAGAAAAGAGACTGGGTGGGCTCTTAATTACCTTCCAAAATGAAAATAATTTGGACCATGGAAAAGAATTAAATTTATTCTTGTTGTTGGTAAACTTTCACTTTATAACCATTTAGAGCATTACAGTTATCTGTCTTTTAAAATCAGAGAGACAATTTAATGGTACAGATGTTACTTACTATCCTTAAGTTACTTACTATCAGAATAGTTTGAAATGGAATAGAGGACACATCTGTGAAAAACTGAGACATGTAAAACATTTGATGCCAGTATACTTTAAAATTCTTCATATTAAAATAATGCAAATATACTCATCGAGTTCTTGATATTGTTAAATATTTTGAACATTAAAATCTTAACAAGTCTTAATCCAAAAATTCAAAACTTCAAAACATGTTTTAAATTCTGTATCTGTGCTACTATCTAAATTAATATAGATGGTTCTAGGCAGAGTAAAAATGGGAAGAAAACTGTTTGCCTTGTCCTTGGCTCCATTAATGCATCCCAGCACTCTTTGCCTCTTAATTGGCAGGATAATGTAGTTAATTTTTATTGGAAATAACATAAATGAAACAGGTGACATTCTTTACATGTAGAGATGATCTATAAGTGTTAAATAAACTAATATATCTGTGATTCTTATTTGACTTCCTGTTTTTGATACAAGGATAGCCAACTAAAAATGCAAATAAATGTGAGAAGATGCTCTAGCCATCAGAGTTCAATTTAATTAAGTTGTAGAAAAGTTTGCTTCTGTACTCTTCTTGGGGGGTTGTCATCCATATCATAACATTTTTGCAAGTGTTTCCCATTGCCATTCCCATCCCCATTTCTTAAATCGAGGTAATCCTCTCTGAGGGAGTTTGCGTGTGTGTGTGTGTGTGTGTGTGTGTGTGTGTGTGTGTGTGTGTGTGTGTGTTCGTTCAAGAGCATGTGACTTCATGAGCATGAAAAGGTTAGAATACAGGCAGTGTTCAATGCTGATGGCGGTTCAGCCACTGAACCCTGACCACTTGCCAAATCATCCACAGAGATGATTTGCAGACCTTAATGTATATATTTAATAAAAAGCCAAGATGTGGACAAGCATACTCAGATAGTCCTCTTCCAGCTTGAGCATGAGGAGAGGGTGCTGCCTTTTTCTTGCTAGCTTCACAGCCAGGTGTTAGGGTGACAGAAATGGCACTCTGCACTGCCAGGAAGTTATAAATTGATCATTGAACCCTCATGAATGGATAATCAATAAAGAAGATGAAAACACGAATGGACAGAGCATCCGTCACAATGTCTTCACAATAGGATGCTGACTACATCTGCATATCTCACAGTCAGATTATGGCCAGATGTTTTTGTTCCTGCTGTGAACCAGATGGCGGTTCTAGCTTCCTTGTTGCTTACCGGAGGCATGGACCACATTTACTCCACTCTCATTTAGTCTGTGAAACTGGGCAGGGAATTACATGGATGTCATTCATCGAACCTATGGAAAGACTGAAGAATATCTTAGAAAATTCACAGAAGCCAAGAGAAGATGGTTGAAGCAGAGTTAACAATATGCCAGAGGAATGGCCTTCTGAAGGAGTCACTGCCTTGGTGACTCCTAAGGCCTAAGCACAAACATCAACAAGCTAAGTTGAGATTTTTATCCCATGGTGGGGAGGGAGCTAAGTGGCCCAGGAAACATGAGCATTGATTTTTTTTTTTTTTTTGGGGTTGTTTTGGTTTGGTTTTTGAAACAGGGTTTCTCTGTGTAACAGTCCTTACTGTCCTGGAACTCACTTTGTAGACCAGGCTGGCATCAGACTCATAGAGATCTTCCTGCCTCTGACTACCTCCCAAGTGCTGGGATTAAAGGTATGAATCACCACCACCAGTGGACATTTGATCTATTTTGACTTCTGTGCTGAAAAAAAATGGCACCACTAAGACACAAACAAATTTAAAAAGTAGACAAAATTATTCAGAGATGAATATGTATGGTATGTGTTAGGATGCGTTCTCAAGGAAATGTTTGTTATTGGTTTTTGTTTGTTTTATTTTTCATCTTATGGAAATCATGATTTTCCTTCTCAGAAGGATAGAATGTGGGCTGGGGATGTACTTAGTGGTAAAGCATTTGCCTAACTTATGCAAAGTTGCCCAAAGTTCAGTCTCCATCACCAAACCCACCCCCCTCCCACACACAGGCAAAGAGACAGGAACACACATACACAAAGAACGTTAAGTAATATTTCATAATTCTGTTTATTCCATGTGTTTTGACAGTTGTATCACTTCTCCCAACTTCCTTTTCCTTAGAAAGTGGTGATCTCAGTTGTCTCCTGAGATGGCAGAACTCAGTCCATCCATAATGACTAGGAACAACTGTCTTCTGTAGCTGGAAAATGATAAGCTAGAATGTGACATAGATTTCTCATGCTGTCTGCTTGGAAAGCAATATTCCAAAGGAGGTTAGAGAGACACTTTTTATGTATGAGATTCCACTATTACTATTTAAAAATATTAAAGACAGTTAATCACAAACACATACTATCATTGACTGGGGTTTTTGAGACTCCATTTGGAAACCTGTTAGAAAATGTTTTTCTGATTCCTTTAAAGGGACTTTATATATTTTGATTTTTACAGTCAGATGGTAACAGTGGAAAAGGGCATGTTATCAGAGAAATGGGTGGGGTAGGGGTTAGTGTGAAGTAGGTAGTTGCCTTGATTACTCTGTCGTTCTTCCCTCCCTCCCTCCTCCCTTCCTCCCTCCTTCCCTTCCTCTCTCTCTCCCTTCCTCCCTCCCTCCCTCCCTCCCTCAGTCCCTGGTAGACCCTCCCTATGTAAGTCAGCCTGGCCTAAATGCAATTTTCTGCTTTCTCAGCCTCCTGAATCCTGGGATTAAAGGTGTGTGCTATCACCCCGAACTGCTCTAATTTCTTAAGGGCCATATAATAACAGCAAACCAGCTATGATTCTTGACAATTCCCCTTTCAAAATTATAACCACATTTTTGACACAGTTACGTACCCTTCCTTAATTTGACTTTTCATCTGACTGTAACTCTTAAATTGAATTTAAAATAACCAGTGCTTAGAAGTGCTACAGAATCCATGTTTAATTTTAACTTATGACTTGAAACTTTCACACACATATACACTATATCTTGGTCCCATACATCCCTGCCCTGTCTCCCACTTCAACCCCCACTCAGGAGTCTTCTCATCACATCTCCCTCCCAACAGCCTGCCCTCCAAAATCCATGTTTGTCTGAGAGACACGCTTGAGCAAGAATCAATGCAGGTTGCATTTGTCATCTTGTCACTTCTCTGCACACTTGAAGGTAGTTCATTTTAGATACTCTGTTGATTACATTTAAGAATTCAAATGAAGTGCCTGTAGATGTGGCTGGGCTGTGTTCCTTTATAATACTTCTTTCTCGTTTCCTGAGATGTCTTTCCATGTGGACTGTACAATTAATTACTTGTTAATGACCAACTTGGCTTTCTTCACTAGTGTCACCAAGAGAAGTAGGATGCCCTCAGGAAGTCTGTCAATAAAAGAACCCTAACCCACAGGCAAAAACCCCTTGTTATAAGCCTTTTAAAACAAAATGTGGAAAGCATAAAAAGGCTATGAATTGGTTTTAAGCCTCCTGGATTGTGTAATAGATATAAAGTCTGGATGAAGACGTCATGTAGGTCCAAGAACCTTATATCTTTTGTGATTCAGTGAAACTTAGAAAGTGAAAATGTTCTCTGTTTTGTTCTCCTGCATGCAGCTAAAATGACATTTTTGTTTCTTGTGCATTTTGTAAAAAAGAAAAAAAGTGGGGCTTCATTGCATTTGCAGTGTGTTTGGGGAATGAAGTGACTTAAAACCTAGACTAGGGACTAGGAGCCTAGCTTTGTGACAGACCATGTGCTTAGCATGTCTGAGACCTGGTGTGTCCCCAGTACTAAAGCAAATAAAAAAATCTGGACAGATCCTCAGGATTATGTCCCAATCCCTTTGGGGGCCCAGGGGTTATCTCAGTCTCCAAGAGGCGCTGGGGGGGGTTGGGGGGGCAGCTTCGTCTGCAGAGTGGCTTTCAGGGGGGTTGCAGAGATGGCATTCCAATGTTGTCTGTAAAGGACATGTAATTCACATCAGTAGTACCTGAGTGGGAGAGGCGGCCTGCTGAAAAACAGCTGGCTGAACTGTAATCAGAGAGGCCTGATATCAGCTATAGAGGAGGAAAAAACAATTTCACTTATGAGTCTCCAATTGATAGTCACAAGCCTGCTCTGAATTGCAGGGCTAATATGTGATCCAGTTTGTTACTAAATGGTAGCCCCATGTGACACGAATTAGGAAGAAAGGCTGTCAGGGATTTATGTACTTAACCCTGACTGCTAATTATCCAGGGCTTCTCCAGGGAGGCCAGGGAGCAGGGAAAGATGAAGGGCAGAGACCAGTGTGGCTTAATCAAGGCTTTCATCATAACGTCTTTTTCATGAACTATAATTGGTTTCAGGAATAGGTACATTTTAAAAACTGATATACACAGAACTGGAAGCTACATGTTAGTCAGAGCAGGGGGAATGGTATCAATCCACTACAGGTTCTCAGAAACTTACCCTTTAATAAACAACTTCAAAATCCAAGGACCGAATACATTTCAAGCATCCATAAATTTTGAACAGTTTTAAGTTTTTCATTCAGAAACATCTATTGATTGGTCTTTGTCTGACTTAGAGTCTGTTGCTGGCATAAAACATGGTGACCTAAAACAGCTCAGAGAGGAAAGGGTTTATTCCAATGTATACTTTCAGGTAACTGTCCATTACTGAGGGAAGCGAAGGGAAGCAGGAAATGAAGCAGAGGGCCTGGAGGAGTGCTGCTTACTGCCTTACTCCTCATGGCTTTCTCAGCCTATTTTCTTAGAAAACTCAGGACCACCTGTATCTGAATGGGGCCACCCACAGCCATCAGGGCTACCACTCATCAATCATTAATCAAGACCATACCCCCATAGACTTGCATATAAGCCAATCTAATGAAAGTACTTTTCTCAACTAAGCTTTCTCTTCCCACATATGTCAAGGCTTGTGTTAAACTGACAAAACCCAAACAGCATAGTCTTGGAGCTCACACTTGCATTGGGGAAAAGACAAATAAATGATTGTGTAATGGGCTAGAGGATCATAGTGTATGACAAAAAGTAAACAGGAGGGCAGGAAGGATCAGGTGCTAGGCATATTAGCATATTTGCCTATAATCCCAGCATTTGAAGTTACAGTCTGGAAGGTTGGAAATTCAAGGCCAGGCTAGGCAATTTGGCAAGAGCCTACTCAAAACAACGACAACCCCCCACAGCCCCTCTCCAAAATACCTAAAGGACAGAAAAACAACAACAACAACAAAAACAAAAACCAAGACGGTTGAGAACTCCAGGAGAAAGTCTCAATTTCAGATGAGCAAGAGCTCAAGAGAGGGACTAACACCAGAAGATATGCAGTGGAAAGATCTGCACAATGTTCCAAAACAGGGTCATCTGATTCTTAACATCTGGAAATGAGATACAGAAGAACTTCATGGCAGTGACCATGTCTGGCACATGCATAGGTGTAACAATAAATCTTTCTGCCAATCCGCCTGAGCCCTGCTCATGAGCGCCCAAAATAACACACAGAGTCTTATAGTAATTACAGTTCTGCTGGCCAATGACTAGGATTTCTTATCTGTCAACTCTGTCTTAAGTATCAACCCTAACTATTAATCTATATATCTTATAAAGACTTATCTGAATGAGGATGCTGGTGGCTCCAGAGAAGATAGGAGGAGGAAGAGGAAGAGAGCAATTTCCTGCTTATCTCTGGTTATATTCTGAGTCTGCCTGCTATGTCACTTCCTGCCTGGATCACAAGACTTCTCTTTACTACATTTCCCAGAATCCTCCTCAACTCCTAGTCCCACGTTACTTGCTTCCCTATTGGCCAACAGTACTTTATTCAACAACCAATAAGATAAATATACACAGAAGGACTTTCCCCATCACATGGGAGTAGGCATTTTTCCTGCAAGAAAAGGTAACACACAGTAATGTTCAGTCTATTCACTTTCTGGAATGAATGAATACATGGTTTTACCCATTGGATTTGTTTAACTGAGCCTAGTGAGAACAGTTATTTAAAGCAAACAGCACAGAATCCTTCATGAGAAGATTACCTTTTTACTATTTGACTATTTGTATTCATAAATAAATTTATATTTGTAATTATTTACATATGCTTATGCACTTTTATTTTTAGGGTTCCAAATAGATAATCTTTTCCTTTTGGACTTCTAATGTAATTATGTGAAATAAAGAATTAGATGAATTAGTTGTAGGTGTTATTAGAGAATTGAAAGGACAATACAGTATCATAATAACATCTATTGTCAAATAATAACTACAATTCAGACATGGTAAATTATTTGAACCAGCATACCTGTAAAAGTAATCACTAAAAAAATAAAATGTACTTTCAGGAAGCACCCCAGCTGAGTCACACTGTCCAGACACCTCCACATTCATCTTTGTACTTCTCAGATAAGTAAATCTTCCCATAAAAGTACTGGAATTGTTACTCAATTTAGCTTTTGAAAATGACTTTCTAAAATATGTTTTAATTCCTTCCTTTCCTGGCCCCAACCCTTCTTTAGAATGTGCTGAACATAATTTATTTCCTATTGACTGGGAAAGGTCACAGGGGGGGTGGGGTTTGCTGCTTTGCCTGGGCATTCTTTTGGTTCTCAGGCCCTGAGAGCCTAGGCAGACTCATGAATGAGCCTCTTCACCAGTGGAGATGCCTGGCTGTGTTTCTTTGCTTATCACTCTGGGATTACTTCCCAGGGTAAAAGACAAAACTTCAGCCAACATTAAATATTAACTTATTTGTGGTTGTGAATAGACTCAAGTAGGCGGGTTTTGTTTTTACTTGTGGTTAAGTATAAATAACATAAAAATCCACTGTACCAACCATTTCTAAGTGTGCAGTTCCGTGGTACTAAGTACATTGGAATTGCTGTACTATAACCATCATCAATCTCTAGAACAAACTCCCAAGTTGAATATCTGTACCTATTAACCAGTAAGAGCCCCACCCTTCATTATCACCATTCAACTCTCTGAATCCGACTCTGAGCATTCTAGGGACCTCCTCTGAGGGGAAACACTTGCTATTTGACCTCCTGTTCCTGGTTTACTTCATTAGTGTAATGTCTTCAAAGCTTGTCCATATTGTAGAGTGTGGTAGAATTTCATTTTTACAGCCTGGATATTGTGCCCATGTATGTGCATACCCCATTTTGTTTGTCAATAAGCATTTGAGTTGTTTCTTCCTATTTTAGCTATTATGAATAAAGTGTACAAACACCTGTTTGCATCCTTGGTTTCAGTTCTTTTGGGCTACCTAGGAATGGAATTCCTGAATACTGTGGTCATTTTCTGCTACTTTTTTGAGGATATCCAAAGAAGGTAATTTTAGTGGAAAATTATTGCAAAGGTGCTTATAGTAGGTGTCCAAGTGTGAAAGTCTCTATGGGTATCCATGAAATGTGTCAGCATTTTCCTCTCTTGCCATTTCATGATTCAGCAGCAAGTTCTTGGGTAGAGAGTTGTGAATAGTCCCACTTCACCCACAGGGAAGCCTTCATTACTGGGTTGTGTGCCCTCATGAGAATGCTGGCCACCAGGCTCAAGGTAGAAAGCTTAATTGCTGCCAGCTTACCTCGGCAGTGGGTAAGCATGAGTTGTTGGAGAAAAGTGTGGCAATCAGTGCACTTTAAATTTATATTGTGGGCATTAATTATGACCTAGATCCAGTCACAACAGGGTTCATGAATGAGTGACAGACTTTCTGCAGTGCTTGCTGACTGAAGATCAGGGAAATGATTCTAAAAACCCAAAGTGAAAATCTAGCCCAACAGGAAAAGTGAGATGCGCTCCCACATGGAGCAAAGGAAGAAATTCAGTTCACATATTGCTGACTGCCTTCTTTAAAGTGATTTTATAACTTCCCATTTATATTGAGGAATCTATCCAGTATGTAAGCTGGCGGGTTTGTGTAATAGTGCCCCGTTATGCTGTAGTAATCCCAGTCCTTCACATCTGTGAGCTGCCTTGATGATGCAAAACCTTTTGGCTTCAAGTGAATCTTCATTGTTTACAGCAGTAACTGCCATGTAGATTGTGCTAATGCTGGAGGGTAAATGCTTCTTAGGGTAAGGGTAATAGCTCCTAAAATTAAGAAAAGACACTCATTGTGTAGTGCAAGCTAGAACCCAAAGAAAGGTCATGTAATGCAAGCTGCCCCCATCCCCAAAGAAGGGATATGTAAGGACTTTGTGACCATATGACAGGGAGGTTTCCAAAGGCAATCACTATTCCTAGTAATCCAGAACTGAAGAGCAAGCTAGGGCACAACCTGAGTCCATGGAAGTTTAGCAGAGGATGTGACACAGTAGCAGTTACTGAGGGTACTAAGGTTGGCTCACATGTCACTTTATCTCTTCAAGTGCAGGCTTGTAACTTCTGTTCCAGTAAGTGCCGTGAGCACAGCAGTTAGTATTATAGCCTTTCGTAGTTCCTTTCTCTGGAGAGCCGTGAAGTGCTGCCTAGTGTCAAATAGGTTTTATGACCCTAGAAATAGTGCTGTAATTTTAAAATAGGTTGTGTGCATTCTTTGGTCATTCAATAAATACTCTGTGTGGTGGGGATAGTTTTAGGAAGTTGTGTGTTTCTTTAGAGAAGCATTGTTTGTTTCTCTTAATGTATAAAATAGCTAATATTTGGTAGTAAGAAAGAAAAAATAATAATATATTTTATCCTCTGTGATAATTGTCACCATACCAGATAATGAAAAGTCAATGTAATGACATTAAGAAAATATAGGACAAAAATTGTTCCTACCTGTTCACATAGTTTTCAAAAGTGATAAAATAATTACAATACAAGTAGCTTGTTAACAAAATGTATGTGTGGCGGTTTGAATAAGAATCGACCCCATAGGCTCATATGTTTGACTACTTGGTCCCCAGTTGGTGGAACTGTTTAAGGAGGATTAGGATGGGTGACCTTATTGGAGAAAGTGCATCACTGGGGACTTTGGGGTTTCAAAAGCCCAATGCCATTCCCAGTTGGTCTTTCAGCCTTTTGTATGTGTATCAAGATCTAAGCTCTCAGCTACTGCTCAGTCCCATGCCTGAGGGCCTGCTGCCACATTCCCCACCATGTTGGTCATGGACTCAGCCTCTGAAACTGTAAACCTCTGATATACTCTTTCTTCTCTAAGTTGCCTTGGCAATGGTATTTTATAACAGCAACAGAAAAGTAACTAAGACAATATGTACATGTAAGCATGGGTAAGAAGATGATGAGATGTTACCCTGGGCAATGCAAGTAGCATGGCCCTTCCAGTTATATAATTTAGATTCTAATGAAGGAAATGTCTTAGGCTACAGATTCTTCCTGACCTTCCCTTTGACAGACAGCTTATTTCATGGGAACCACCTAAAAGTGGTGAAAGTCCAGAATCCATCACAGTCCATGGTCCAAAGAAATTTCTCATGGCCTCTCTGGTTTTTCCTTAAGGAAAAACATTTGGAATTGAGAAGAAAAATGGTTGGAATTGAAAAGGTTCCATGCTTATTTGACCTTGAAGTTGAGTTGTAGCCATGTGTAGAAAATGGAGGGACCGACCAGTATATGCAGGATAAATAAATCTCACCCATACTGAAGTCTGCACAGTTTGCTGACATTGGGAGTATTTTTTGTATATATTAGATTATTTATTCATCGTGTTGTGTATGCATACACATGTAGGTGCATGTGTTATAGTGTGTGGATGGATCTCAGAGGACAGCTTTTGAGAGTGTCCTTCTATGATGTGAGTCCAAGGGATCAAACTCAAGTCCTCGGACCCTAAGGCACTGAGCCATTCTGCTGGCCCCTAAACTTGTCTGTTCTGAGATACAGATTATTGGATTCCATTGAGTAAAATGAGAATACTAACATCAAAGGACTAGGCAAGAGATCAGATTTCCCCATTAATCTACACTGCTCATTAGCCGGTAATTGGGAATCACATTTTCTTTGCTAATATAAAAGTGGCAGTGAGTCATAACAGAGGAATGGAGAGACATAACTATTCTTAATGATTTAAGTACAGTTAGGAAATATGTTTCTAGTGTTAATTTAGGCCTTAATACCATCTGTAGAATGGAGCTACGTAAATATTTACAGCCCTCAAATGGCTATCATCAAATTGCTGAAGCACACATGTTAAATAAATCTGCCTTATACAATGGCATGGGTGAGCCTGGAGAACATGAAGCTGAGTGAAATCAGCCAGTCACAACAGGACTAATACTTATTCTACTGATTCTAGGGATGCAAAATAGTTAGAGAGAGAAATGGTGAGTAGGATGTCTAGTGGATTCCAGAACCTGGAAGAAGAGGGGCATAATGGACTGTGTTCCTGCAGGCGTATAGTTCATCGGGTGTATTGGATGACTGGGCTCCAGGAATCTGTTGCCTGTTATTGTGCTTGTCCTTAATACTACTATGATGTGCCCTTAAAATGTCTAGAGGAGGCAGATCTCAAGTTGAGTCATTGCTGGGATAAAAAATGGAGAGGTTTTTCCTGCCACTGGGACAGGAAAGGAACAGTTCTAGGTTCTGATATTTTCCCAAATGTCAGAACTGGGAATTCTATGTAAGGGTGACCTTACTAGCAGCCATGCAAGG